TGTAACACAGCCCAGATTTAACTCTAAAAGCTTGGTGAGCTTGAGTATCTTGCCATGTTTTTCTTTTTGAAGCCCTGAGTGGAGAGGAGACCTCATAGCATGGATGAGATAGTTTCCAGAGAAAGGAAATAGAAATAAAACTAATCTGTAAGATTAACCTGAAAAAAAATAGCACTGAGCTTGAAAAACTGCTGGTTTCGTTTTTGGGACAGCCTGTGTTGACCTTTGCATTTATATTCCACATATTTGCACTGTTTTAATAGAATGAACATTAGTACTTGGTTCTATTGTACAAACTGGACAAGAATCTCAACTGAGCAGACCTACAGCTTACACTGCTAGGTGAGGTCTCCACAAGCTAACACCTAGAAGAAGGGATAAATAAAATCATAGAAATATCTTCATGACACATAGCCCCAAGATGTTTTGCTGTCCTGAATGTTGGTTTAATGGCTTAATGGCAGTCGGCCCGACAGAACTGCCTGGCCGCTGGACAAGGTAGGGGTGGGCAGCTCTGCACTCTCAGAAGGGGTGGAGCCTTGGATGGAAGGGGTGGGGCTGGAGAAGCCAACCCTCAACACCGTGCCACCCACCCGCCAGCCCTCACAACCACCTATAATGCGCTGTGACACATGGCAGCCATTTAAAGGGTCTAGGGAAGTTGCACCTTTGTCTCCCCCATTCGCAGGCCTGCTTATTTGGTAAGCTCTTATAACATCACAATACATTTCAGGGTTCTTCATAGTATTATATGTATAAGATTTCAGCCTAAGCTTCCATTATAGTTTCCTTGTTGTTAGGATAATTCATGTCCTTTGGTACTCATATTCTCTCTCTAGATGCTTAGAAATCATAATGAATTCAAACCTGCAGTCTCTTCTTCTAAGCAACATGCCATGGAGAAATATAGGTCTGGTTGAAATGGAGCATTTCAGAAGAAGGTTTTAACACCTAGTATCTTACCTTTTTTCATTTCTAATTTCAACATAAGAATTCTGTTTTAAAAGAATACTATAAGAATGTTACAGTTTTAACAATTTAGCATACAAAAGTCAACAAATGCAAAAATTAATACATGAATATCCTTAACTCTGCCCCACTGAGCAAACATGCATATTTATTTATTTATTTCAATTTAAAGAACCATAAAAAGGTCTATAAAAAATTCTGGGCATCCCAACACACCAAGCACTGCATGGTATTTTGGAAAGTGGTGCAAATTATTGGAAAAAGGAACTAAAATAGATACTTTAACTATAGAGGTCAGTAACTACCACTGTTGCCATAAAATATTAAAATTTGGAGGATCAGAAAGACACGTGTGACAGCACAAAAAGGTTTTCAATGAAAAAATGAAAACAAATATTTAGGGTCAGATCCTTAGCTGATATAAATTACTCTAGCTCTGTTGTGGATTTATGTCAATTTATACCAGGTAATCATCTGGCTCTGTATTTGGATTCTGCACACTTAGTGCTGTCTAGAGGTAAATATATATAAAAAATCTCTAATGGTTTAAACTATGGCATAAAAAATGAGCCACCATGAAAATCAACATGATTTCAAGGGAGAAACCTTTGTTGATGCCGTTAGGACTTGCTAGACTAACTCCAAGCTCTTATTTACATTATGGTACGTGCCACCATCATTCATGAGTTAGTATGTGTTCATAACTGCAGATTGGTACAGACAGAAAATAAGGACATAAATATTTAACATTTGAAGAGGGAACTCATTTACTGGAATTCCAACTTCATGAGCTAAGTTATCTCAGATGTACTTCAATTTACATAATATGAGACTATATGAATATCTGTCGTCTTTAACCTTTGATTGTTTAAAAGCACGGAACTTCATTTGCATTAAGGTTACCAATAATGAACAGAGACATGATGCATTAGGCATATGCTAATATGTAATATGTCTCTCAAAGTAGTCATCCCTCCTCCTTCCCAGTCAACGTACCTCAACTGTAGCCTGTCGAGAGGTTGAAAAGGATGTATATTTTAAAGTTGCTTGTGGGACTTCCATTATGCTAGAAAGAAATCTTTTCACTTTGGCTGAGAATGGTTGAAAACAAAGGCCTCTTTATATTATAGATGTTTTAAATATTCAAATTAAAACACTAAGCTCAAAGTGCATTTTTAAAAAGACATGTTGTCCCTGGCAAGGGTCTGCTTTCGATGTGTATAGGATAGGATTGGAATCCAGCATCTCTTGTATGATAAATCCTGGTCTTAATAATGTCTCCCTATGTGATTTCGTATTAGACCAGGTGTACACTAGGCCTGGAAGCTTGGTTTAAGGTACTGTACACAACTTAAGGTACATAGAATATGTAGCTGGATTTGGCTTACCTTAAGCCGAGCTTCATCCCCACAGTGGGAGGCACACAGGCGTGTTTGTGACTGTGCTGAGTACAGGTGCTGGCTGGAGCTGCCCTCAGAGTTCAATTTACAGGTCTATACTAGTCTTGCTAAATCAAACGCCAGAACATTGATCTCCAGTATGGCGAGTGAAGACGTGCTGTTAGTCTCTTAATTTCTCTGCCACAGTTTACCTTTCTGGGCAAGAAGGAAGGATATCTACACTGCTACGTTTAACCCTGTAGAGTGAACGCTGTGAGCCTTTGTCAGTTGATCTGGGCTCTGAGACTCACTGCCACGGAGTTTGGTTTTTGCTATTTGCTGTGTAGTTGTGCCATAACTGATTTACTCAGGCTCACACAGGAAGTCTGTTTTGGCAGAGAGCACAACCTAAATTTCTATATCAGCCATAGGAGCAGCCTTCCTGAATGCTAAAGCATTGTTATTCTAATCAGAATTATGTACTTACAAAGGAAAACAAAACCCTTCTGCAAGCTTTGTTTCCAAGCAAAATGATGCGATGCACTCAATTTATTGATAAGGAAGAAAATACAAACAAATGGATAAATGAAACAGTAATAAATCACCAGGTCAGAAGGAACCCAAGAGTTCTCAGACACAAAACTACAGAACTACTAACCTATCTCTTATATCAGCTTCTGTACCAGATGGCTGGAAGATAACTAATGTGACATCAATTTTTCAAAAAGGCTCCAGAGGCAATCCTGGCAATTACAGGATTAAGCCTCACTTCAGTACCAGGTAAATTGGTTGAAACTTTAGTAAAGAACAGAATTATAAAACACATGAACATAATTTGTTGGGAAA